CGCGGCTGCCAGGGGACCCCCTCCAGGCTGGTTCTCCGCCCCCCCCTACTGCCCCGCCTTCATTCGTTCCTCTCAACTCCAATGTTTCCGTATTCCCACCGATTCCCCACCGATTCCCCACCCGCGTGCCCCAGGAGGGAAACGGGAAAGGGCCCGGCACTAAAGTCAGGCCAGGCCTCCGCTCGGCTGCGGGGTGAGGCCTCGGGCCCTGCCGCCGAGGCTGCAGTAGGGATGCGGGGAGCGTACACACCAGGCACCCGGGAGCCTCCAGTGCTCTGCTCCCCTTTCTTCCCATGAGTGTCTAGCATGCAGCCAGTCGCTGCATGTGATTTAAATTCAAATTTAATTAAAATGAAATCCTATATAAACGGTTAATATGCAAATCCATCAGAGGAATGCCTTGTCGCTATGACTCGCACTGACCACCAGGGGCCAGACACTCGACGCAGGAGCTGCCCCCTGGTGATCAGAATGCGCCCACAGGGGGAGCGCCGCTCAGCCAGCAGCTGGGCTCACAGCTGGTGAGTGCAGTGGCAGTGGCAGGAGCCGCTCCCGCCTATGAGGCAGCACTATGGACCCCTCGGGGGATGTCCGCCTGCCTGCTTAGGCCCGCTCCCCCAGAGGGCGCAGGCTGGGCTGAGGGGTGCCCTGCCCCCCAGTGCGCTGGGCCTCTGGTAAAATATAAGACTCCAGGCGCCCAACCCATGAGCCACATATGAAGGACTCTTCTACTGCCCAGGTAGGTGGTGACTCCCACTTAGGGTCTCACAGATGAGACCCTCATACCTCCCCCCCTCAAGCTGCCTCCATTCTGAAGCTGAGGGAGATTCAACGTGGAAGTCCAACTCTGACCAGCGCCCGTGGGTGCCCCTCCCAGTCCTCGTCAGCCAGGAGAGCTTCCCCCGCGTCGTTACCACGGACCCGGCTGGTCTGGCCACACTCTCCCCCCGCCCCCCTGCTGCTCTAACCCCTCTCCAGCCTCCAGCCGGCCCCATCGTCCTCCTGGCCTCAGCCACTGCTACTCCCTCTGCCTGGGGGGCTAGTCCCTCTCTGTTTTTGGCTGAGTGACTGTAAGAGGCAAAATTCTCGGACGCCCCCAGATTCCTGGGCCCAAGCACTCAGTCCAACACTGGCCACAGTGCTGCATGGAGGGACTTTGTAGGTGGAACTTAGGTCCAAGGCAGTTGACCTTGAAATAGGGGGACGAGCTTGGGTGGGCCTGACCTCATCAGGCGGTCGTTTAAAAAGGGACCAGGCTCCTCCTGGCAAAAGGAGTGTGGATTCCGGGGACAGGGACGCCGTGCGTGCCCAGGGCTCCGTTGGTGGGGGTGCCACACAGCAAGGCAAGCGAGACAGGAAGAGGCCCGTGGCGGGCGGGCGGCCAGGAAGCAGGCTCCTCAGAAGTTCAACCACAACGAATGGGGTTTGGCTGCGATCTGAGTGCATGTGGACGTGGAGGCTGCCCCGGAGCCCGGCGGGAAGGTGCACGCCCACACCTTGGATTCAGCTTTGTGAGTCCTGAGCAGGGAGCGGCCCCGTGTGCCTGGGCTTCTGAGCTCAGAAACTGAGATAAAATAACACCTACAAGCCCTGGCTGGTGTGGCTCAGTGGATAGAGCGCCAGCCTGCGGACTGAAGGGTCCGGGTTGGATTCTGGTCAAGGGCACATGCCCAGGTTGTGGGCTTGACCCCCAGTAGGGGGCATGCAGGAGGCAGTCGATCAATGATTCTCTCTCATCACTGATGTTTCTATCTCTCTCCCTCCCTCTCCCTTCCTCTTTGAAATCAATACAAATATATTTTAAAAAATAACCCAGCCCTGATTGGTTTGGCTCAGTGGATAGACCGTTGGCCTGCGGACTGAAAGGTCCTGGGTTCGATTCCAGTCAGGGGCATGTACCTTGGTTGCAGGCACATCCCCAGTAGTAGGGTGTGCAGGAGGCAGCTGATCAATGTTTCTCTCTCATCGATGTTTCTAACTCTCTCTTCCTCTCCCTTCCACTCTGTAAAAAATCAATAAAATATATTTAAAAAAAAAATAACCCATTCATGCTATCTCATGCCACATAATTCATGGTGGTTTGTGACACAGCAGGGAAGCCGCAGCAGGGACTCCAGTGTGAGAGCTCAGGCCCCTGATCTCCGACCAGCTCATCCCCGAAGGCAAGGCAGAGATCAGCCACCCTGAGCCCAAAAGGCGGGACCCTGTGCTGCGGTCACCGTGGTAACCAAGTGCCTGGGGCGCCAATGAGGAAGCGCTCAATTCACATGTTCACGCAGCAAGTAGCTACTGAGCCCCGACGGTGGGCTGGGTTCATGTGTGGGTTTTCTGTTTGTCTTTAATGAATAAAGGAGCAGCTACATGAAAGAAAAAGACACCCCTTTCACAGTTTCTGACTTTGGTCTTCATGCGCTATCTTTCGTCCCCTCCTGAAACACACGACCGAAAGGACGTGGGAGGAATGGCGTCTAGTCAGAGCGGACACAGCTCCAACGGCACGCAGGCCCTCCAGCCACGGAGGCGCTGTCTGTGTGACTGAACGCACAGGTCCTGGGGCACGCACGTGCACACACACACACACACACACACGCATGCACACACACACGCACACGCAGCACCTGTCCCAGCCCCTGCCGGAGGCCACCACCCCTCCCGTCCCTCCTGTTAGGATCAAAGCAGCCTCCACACACCTTCCCTGACTTTGGGTCTGGCCTCCGGGGTCTTGGAGGAGCCACAAGGCTCAGCGTGCCAAGTCCCCAAGCGCCCAACGGGGTCTGCACACCAGGCTCACCTGTCGGGTCAGAGGAGTCCCTGCTATGGAGGCCCCTCAACAAGCCTGAGAACCAGGCACTGCTACTGACCCATTGCACAGATGAGGAAACAGAGGCCCAAGGCTACACGGCTAGGACACCGTGGAGCCAGGATTCAGACCCAGACAGTCCGGGTCCAGAGCCCACAGCTGGAGCCATGTGCCTGAGCCCATCCAAGCCTGGGCACCAGCCTTGTGCGGGCTCCCACTCCTCCAATTCCCAGGCCTGGGCGCTCAGGACCGGAGCGGGCCTCCCGGGGAGGGCACCCCCAGCCCTCACGGCCCCGGCGGAGCCCACACCACTCACCCTTCTCCCGCAGGTACGTCACCGTGAACCGCAGCACCGGGGGGATGAGTTCACCTTGGTTTTTGTCTCTGAGGCTGAGGGGAGAGAAGAGACAGCAACAGTGTCACCTGGGTTCGATGGGGGATTGCAACGGGGCTCTGGTCCTCGCCCCACCTCGGGGGAAGCAGGACCGAGGGCCCCGCCGAGGGAGACGCAGCCTCGGCCTCAGGCAGCAGGTGGTCTGGTGGCCAATGAGTGGCAGGAATAATAAAACCAAAAGCGCGGTGTCAAGGGCGCCACCGGAGATGCACCTGACACAGGGGAGGCCTGGGGGTGGCCAAGGCTTCACCTGGGGTAACTTCTTTTTTTTTTTTAATATT